ATATATATATATATATATATAAATGGTATTTTTTTTCTTTTTTTGCACTCGAAATTCAAATGAAAGCTTGCTTCAAACTTAATTTTTTTGGTTGTGTTCATTATTATATCTATTCAGGGCTCGAAATTAACGCTTGAAAAAGAAAGAAAATTTTACTTGCCCGACCGGACAAGTAACCTGATTGATCTTCTAAAGTGTTAATAACAAACAATAACTAGGGCAGCACCGAAACTTTGGCGAGAATGATTCTGATTTGATTACTTTCAGTGTAAACGGTGACTGATAACGGAGAATGTAGGCCTATTGACAGTATCAAAGTCGCATCAGTTGAGGCTCGTGCAGCCTGACTGACTCATGGAGAAATCAAAACTATAAGCGCAACAGCACACACAAAGAAACAAACATGAACAAACATACTGCAGCATCTCCGAGCAACACACAACAGTTCTGTTACTGAATGATTCAGTGAGACACTTATAAAGACAGTCACTTGCTTCATTTATTGATTGAATCAGCCGTTTGAACGAATGGTTGAATCAATGACACACTCATTAAAGGGATAGTTCACCCAAAAATGAAAATTTGATGTTTATCTGAAACAAAGTCACCTACATCTTGGATGCCCTGGGGGTAAGCAGATAAACATCAAATTAAAATTTTTTGGTGAACTATCCCTTTAAGACTGTGACTTGGCCCCACCTACCGGTGGTTTGAATTCATATTTAAAAGTATCATTGCATTTTTCCAACATTTCATATTTTTATGTCAAAAAAGTTAAACAATAATCTAATAACATTGTTTATGCATTTGCAATTTTTAATAAATGCATTTATGGAACCTCTTATCTTCATTAAACAGTCTGAGTAAATACATCTAAATGGCACTTTCGATGCAGCTTCTGTGTTTCCTCTGCAGTGGAAAGATGGATGGATGTTGATACTGATTTCATTTGAATGGTAACAACCATATAGTGTCTTATTATTCTAGCTGAATGTATTGATAAAATGTAAGAATTTGACGTAAATGGTGATATGTACATTGAAAAAGGTTAGGAAAATATTGCCCTTCATAAAGTTAAAAAGTGTAACAGAAATCAATTTAAGGCAAATATCACAAATATGCTGATTAAAGTAATACCTGATAGAGCACTGATGAGACTGTTGCTCAGCACACACAAAGAAACAAACATGAACAAACATACTGCAGCATCTCTGAGCAACACACAACAGTTATGTTACTGAATGATTCAGTGAGACACTTATAAAGACAGTCACTTGCTTCATTTATTGATTGAATCAGCCGTTTGAACGAATGGTTGAATCAATGACACACTCATTAAAGGGACAGTTCACCCAAAAATGAAAATTTGAGGTTTATCTGAAACAAAGTCACCTACATCTTGGATGCCCTGGGGGTAAGCAGATAAACATCAAATTTTAATTTTTTGGTGAACTATCCCTTTAAGACTGTGACTTGGCCCCACCTACCGGTGGTTTGAATTCATATTTAAAAGTATCATTGCATTTTTCCAACATTTCATATTTTTATGTCAAAAAAGTTAAACAATAATCTAATAACATTGTTTATGCATTTGCAATTTTTAATAAATGCATTTATGGAACCTCTTATCTTCATTAAACAGTCTGAGTAAATACATCTAAATGGCACTTTCGATGCAGCTTCTGTGTTTCCTCTGCAGTGGAAAGATGGATGGATGTTGATACTGATTTCATTTGAATGGTAACAACCATATAGTGTCTTATTATTCTAGCTGAATGTATTGATAAAATGTAAGAATTTGACGTAAATGGTGATATGTACATTGAAAAAGGTTAGGAAAATATTGCCCTTCATAAAGTTAAAAAGTGTAACAGAAATCAATTTAAGGCAAATATCACAAATATGCTGATTAAAGTAATACCTGATAGAGCACTGATGAGACTGTTGCTTCAGAATAAATTACATTTATGCCAATAAAAAAAGAAAAAAGGAAAAAAAAGAACCACCTTTTTTTCCCCCGGACAAGTAACTTTTTAAAAAATGTATCAAGTGAATGACTGATTTACTTGTCTGAAGGAAAAAGCACATGTCAAGGCTTAATGTCCAGCCCTGCTATTAAAAAAAAAAAAACAAGTTAACTGCACAGTTTGGGCCCTGCTGTTAATTTGTTTAAAGTCCCCCTGTAGTCAAATATTATATCCCTTAAAACTTATCTTTTATCATCAAAATTACATATTTAA